CTATTTTGGTTCAGTTTCCCTAAACTTAACCAAGTTGTTTTTGTCAGACAAATAATGTAATAAGGGCGTCAGATCAGGAAACACCTATGTGTCGTTCTAGAGGGCACTGGACAAACAATGTGTTTTGTTGTTTAATTTGAAAGACTTGGATTATCTCCGCCCCCATTTTCTCTTATTTGCGTTGGTGCATCACCATTTACACCCCCTCTTTATACCCCTCTGTAATTTCTTATTAAGATTGACTTTTTTCAGGCTGTCCTGATCTATTTGTTAACCTTAGATATGCAAATGACAAAGCAGTATTAGCGAAAATGTGTAATGATAAAGATAACAATAGCTTTCATAGTCTTTAGTGATTACTGTGAAAAAAAAGGACCAGTCAGAGATTCATGTATATATATTTGTGTACACAACCCTCCCTACCAAACAGACACTAAAACACTAAAAGCCTTGTCTGTTTTCTTCCTGCGTTTTTCACTGACCATATCTCTCACTCCTCCACATGTCAAAATCATTCAAGGTTTTTCTTTCGTGCCCGCTGCACTGAGGAGGTTGTTATGAGTCAGAGTTACTGACTCGAAAAACCTGAGCATGAGGCTTTTAGATCTTTATTATCTCTGAGATCAGTTTGTACAGTTTGGCATAGGGGCGCTTTATCTCACATCATCCTCCCTACAGTATGTCTCCTAATCTCCCCCTGTACCTCAGTGTTAGATGAGGGTATGAGGTGACCCAACACACACACACACACTCAGATATACAGCAGAGGCCTTTCTCCGTGTAGCACAGACTAATTGTGAGTGAATTCAAAATGCTACAAAAGACTCACTGCTCAGACAAGCCACCGCTGATAAAGACACCTCAGGTATTTCTGCTACTCTGTCTCATGCGTCTCCTTCTTCTGTGATGAACATGGGAGGGTTTGGAGTCGAGGTTTGTGAAAGATTAATGAAGCAAGGTCACTGGCACAGGATAGTGAGTTTTTATACTTTGTGTAAAAATCAACAGTCCGGGCTCAGTAAATGCACGGAAACGCCTGCTCCGTCGAATAAAGAGTCTCTGCACGTTTATCTGGTTGGAAATCTAGTACAGGGATCCAACTGTGATTGTCAATAATTCCACCTTGAGGCTGGCATGAGTGATTATGTGTCATTTGATGTGGACTTTTTTTTTACTTATTCCACAAAAATACAAACATTCATTCATTTCATTGGAATAAGTCAAAATGGAAAGGGTTTAGCCAAATGTAAACTTAATGTGTTGTTTTTCCGGATCTTTGGAGTTTTCATTTTTGGGAGTCTGGGGTAAGGTGTGATTGGATTAAAATATCAAATAAGCTTTTGGGACGATTACAAAAGAAACAGGACTTTTATACGTCCTCTTCAGCAAACCAAAGTAGGCTGTGTCTGTTGGCGGCTGGTGAATGTGCGCTCTATGTTCTGACAGACAGAAGAATGAACTGCTTTATTACCTCTGAGCACGGCTGCCAATCATTAGAGGTGTCCCTCACACTACTGCAAAAACAGCCAGAATTTACTGAGATATTTAGTTCCGTGTGCACATAATTCATTGTCGCTCCAACACAATGGTCTGCAGTGCACACGGCATTCCTGCAATGAATAAAAAAGTCCCTATACACAAAGGGGATTGCGTAATCTCTCCACCTTTTTGCCATGCACCGCTGTCATTTTATCTGTCATGGAAAATCCACATCCTCCCATCTTTCCCAACCATCTCCACACTCCACCTACTCCCAGTGGCACACTCCCAACCCAGCTCAAATCCCAGCTGATCCTGTTTTATCACCAGAATCGCACCAGAAAGGAATCCTGGAGCCAGCTACTATCTGATGGTTTTGGTTGCTGCCTTTCTTCTAACTTTTATTTCCAGTGCTGATAAGCATCAATTATTATATACAGCTCATACACATTTGTCAGTCCAAAATAACCCAATCAGGGGTAAAGATCATTTCTAGTGCAGGTTGATTTATAAGAGAAGGTCAAGGGAAATTTACACACTTAATCGATATTATTTTACACCCATCCGTCTTCATAAAATGGGTCTACTAGAAAATAATTTGTGCTGGAAATGTTAAAGGTATAAAAGTGCTTTTATCCATGCAATGTGGGCATGCCCTCTAGTTCTGCCTTTCTGGAGCGAGATAATCAAAACAGTACAGGAGTGGTTGCGTATAGTAGTAGTGTTAACCCAGGCCTGCATCTACTCTGTACTAACAAGCTTTATTTCAGCTGCTGGGTTAGTTAGACCAGAATATTGAGAGAGGGTTAGGCTAGTGAATTAAAGATTAATGATAGCCGACCTGCAGAACTGTAAATGATCATTATTTGCTCATCTTGAATCAGTTTTTGTCTTTTATGTCTTTTTTTGACAGTGTACTTCTGAGGAATTTATTAGAATTTTAAATGTATGACTCATGTTTAATTAATATTATGAATATTTGATAATACAAGTGGAATGAGTGGGCTCTTATTTTTGCTTTGGTTGGTGCCACATGGACTTTTCTTTTGTGTCCAGGTTTGATTCATGGATTTGAATAGACTCCTTAAAAGACTGGTGCTGCGCTAACAGGACAGAGAGGATGTTGGGCTTTTGTTTAGTCTGCGCTATTTTGGTTATGCGTTTATTTTTTGTACCTAATTTAATTTGTGTTGTTTCTTTAAAAAACATTTCTTGAATAACAAAATGACCCAATTGAATCTCAGGGTCTTTATCAGCAAATTGTTTGTTCAGTTATTATGAGGATGGATCTGTTGTAAGCTCAGTCCTGTGCACCAACTTGCACCTCATGAGGTACAATACAGTTTTACTATATTGCAAATGCTGTGTTTATCTCTGTAGATATGGCTTTTTCAGGCTTTTTTGTGATGATAAAATAACAATGCACTAAAGAAAAACTGTGCATTTTGAAGAATTTTGTATCTTTTTTACTCTACAACTGCAGGCCTTTATGGCTTCAAGTGTAAAATGACCCTTAAATGATTTACTCACTTTCTAATAAGCCAAAAAGACTGCAGTTATAAATATAAGTGAAGTGAGTTTCTTGTTTTATAATATCATCCAGATGATTTAAACTTGTGGCAAAAGATAATAGATATATTTTTCACAACCTGGCTATTTAATGGCTTTAATCACTAATCTATTAATATTAATTAAGTAGACTGCCACTTATAACATATACATTATAAAGTATGCCTTATCATAAACCAATTCCAATAATACCTTGAAAGAACAAGAGGTTTCTTGTATATTTTTAAAGCTACTAAGCAGCTACTTTGCTTGTATTACTAGAAGCTGTTGTAGCCTCTGAAGCATCCACGGAGGGTAACATCACTCTCCTTAGGGGGCTGTACTTAACTCACTGCCCTGCTGTTGGCACAGGGGCAGTAAGGTGATCTACGGGGCTATCAGCAGGCCATCAGTATCATCCAGGGTATCTGTGTCATCTCTGGCATGTTCCAACCCAGGAGCCAGATTCTGTCTCCATTTCCATTACTCCATTGCAAAAATTAAAGATGAAAGATGGTCCCCGAGCTGCGTGATCGGACAGCCCACCATCAGAGTGGGGAAGCGATTCTCTTTCACTTGAGTTTTGCAATTAAGTCTTTGTTTAATCTCCGGCTTCCCAGTGTGTTTCCACATGCCACCCAAATTCCATAACAGTGCTGCTTTATGCTGCAGCATACCCTGCCAGCACTTATCATATCAGCACATACGACTGGAAGGAGCCAACCGTTTGTTAAAGCTCACATTTTCAGACACGCTCAAACACAAACGGCTGCTCAGTCACTCACTCTGTCAGATGGCATTGGTCTGGTCTTGCATAAAACAAAAACCTCGAAATCTTAGACAAGTATCAGAACAAGGCAGAACTCTGTCTAGCCTGTACCACCCTCCCCGTCCTCCCCCCCTATACACACACACACCCCACCCGCTGACCCCCACCACCATATGCCAAAAATTATCATACAAGTTTCTCTTTGTATCCATATTTAAACATGATGGAGAAGAATTGAGCCTTTATATGAGGGGGAGGTTGTGTGTTTATCCAGCAGCGCCAGCACCAGGAAACAAGAGAAAGCCCCCATTGCTGTTGGTGGAAGCAGGAAAGGGTCGGAGACTGCGGTGCTGGCGGGAGGAGAGGTGAATGGAGACGGGGAGAGAGAGAGAGAGAGTGAGAAGGAGAAAGGAACTCTTTGAGTGACAGTAATTTAGGAACCTGGACTTTTTATGATTTTCCTGCGTTCGGGAAAACATACAGACTTCTGGGTATAGCACTTGGGACCAAATCAAAGACGTCTTTTACCATCAAAAGGTGTTTGTGTGTGTGTGTGTGTGTGTGTGTGTGTGTTCGCATGTCTGTCTATCTGTATGTAACCTTCTCATGTTTGCATGAGCAATATGTACATAAAGTAAAGCAATTGCCAAACAAATCTTAAAGTGGAAGTAATTACATTTTTTAATAAATATATTATAATCTCTTTTTGTGTAAGGAAACTATAATGATACTGCAGCTATTATGCATATTTCCCAATTTTTCAAAACATGGATAACATTTGTATTTTGGACATTTTAGTGTAAATATTGTCTAAGCTTCAGGCCTTTGAATCGGCGTCGCCCTTGGCAACAGTTGACTTTAAGGAAGCTTTTGTTGCTAGGAGACCCACTGTTAACTTCTGTGGTGTGCTACTTACCTGAGTACATTGTAACACTATATCCTACAAATGTTAACATTTTTGTACCCACATATAGCGCTGGGTCTGTCTGGTTGGTGCTTTAAGACATCTGACCGAACATTCAACATTCATGACGAAGTTAGCAAAATAGTTAGCTTCCACTCATGTTGTTTATCCTAAGCTGTGTCGACACCCGCTTATTTTTCACTGGATTTCTTCACAATATTAATCAAAAATGAACTTGCTTCTACTTTTTAATCGCCTGTGTGACCTCTCTTTTTAATGCTAGGTGGAAATTACACCGTCTACGCCAACGGTTACTACTCCTACTGACGGAAAATGTTGCCCCTTCCGCCACATAGTGAAAATGGCGACCACTGAGGGTGAGAAGTGTCTAGCATTCACCACTCAACTTTTTGGCGTGAACCATCCGGGTACTCGCAGTGCATTTTGCCACACTCGACAGTGTGAACGTACTTATGTACTCAAAATAGTTCATCAACTCAAATTGAGACACGGCACTAGTTTGCTAATGTTAGCACCGACTCCCACTGGACACCTGCTGAGTTGTAGCTATCTCTCACACACTGCGCGGAGTTTGTCCCACATTATAAAAGGAACGGGCTGTAGCTGTCTGTCTTTAAAGGGGCCAGGTGACGGCAAATGTTCACACTAAGTAAGTAAGTTAACAATGTTAGCCCCACAGCTAGCTAACTGTGTGTCTGAAGTGATATTACAAACAATTTTTCAGTTGGACCCAAAAAATGTATTCTACCCGGAGAAAAAAAAATACAAATTGATTTCTTCTTTTTGCTAATTACAATTTTGACCAAATAAGTAGGTTACACAAAACAAACCTCAACAACAGTCTATACTGACTTTAAATAAGTACACTGAACTGGATTTGGCTAAACAGCCCAAACTTTTTATGTGAGGCTCCCACCATCGCTGTAAACATTTTGTTTTATTACACAATGTTTCCTCAGGCACCACAAGTTTTAGTATCATCAGTTGCATTGAAGAAGCATCAATCGACTCTAAGATGCCCTCCTTAAAATATCCTGTACATTTTCTGCCATTTGCTTTAACATTGTGTTAAGAAAATAAGATGTTCAAGATGTTTTTAGTGCCGTCACTTAATATTCTGAAACAACAGGCCAGAAATTTATTAAGAAGTGACGGGAACAAAGTGTAGGAATGCAAGGGTTTGTAAATGGTCCTACTGATGGATCAGTGTTTTTGCCCATGTCAAAACAGAGCCAGGACTGAATGGGCCTCCTCATGACCCTCTGGCCTCGGTTCCACGCTCAGGCCACTCAGGAAGGCCTGAGGTTTGGAGGTTTCTAACCACAACGACCTTCTCGCTCCCTTCGCTTCATTTTTTAGCTTTTTTATCCGAAATGAGACACTGGATAAATTACGTTGACTATGAAGGGCCCCCTTGTTCACTTAGAATAATAAAGAAAGGATACCCTGGTGGAGAACTTTGCAGTAATTTTGCCTGTAAGTGTGTGAGTGTGTCTGGGCTCGAGAGTTGGCTGAGCGAGACAGGGCCGAGAGAGAGAGAGAGAGAGAGAGAGCGGGGGAGAGTCTCATTTCCTTCATGATGGATGAACCTATTAGCTGTTTGGTGTTAGCACAGGTTTAGCCTTACACCTCGGGCTCTGGACACACACGTGCTGATTGTGGCAACCGAAGGGAAGAGGAAAGAGGGATGGCCGAGGGTGATGAGCTTGGAAAATGTTTACATCAGCAGAAGTAACATTGCATATTTCTTATATGAAATCCTTCAGACCAAACACTGGCTATAAATAGGGCACTTTTTGCGGGTTTTGCAGTCACTGTAGTTTCTCTGACACACGTTCTCATTCCCAGGTTGTCAAATACAGATGCGAGCGGTTGCTACTTCACCACTAAATCCCACACACTGGGCCTTTAAAGGTGGGGTCAGTCATTCTGGAGAAAGAGAGTGGATTGTTCCATGTCGTCAAATACCCATGCTTTTTTTCAGGAGACACGATTTATCCTGAGGCCCTGCAACAAACAATACAGAAAATAGTAAAGTCAGACTCTCACATTGCCGTGCACATTTACAGTGATAAATGCACACATGCTAACTTCCCGCCCCTCCACACAGACATGTATCTCTATATTACTGTTATTTTTTTCTAAATTTATGTGAAAGTTACTTAAAGTTTTCTGGTACCGGATATAAATCCTCCACACCAGACTCACAAACGACCATATAAAACAAAATCACATATACATACATAAAGTTCACATCTACCTGCTCCATTCAATGTTGCTGTTCATGTATCCTCATCCATCCACAGGTTATAAATAGGACTAGTTTGACGTACCAGTACTGGGGCTTACAGGGTGGGCCGATGGGGGGCGGGGCGGAGTTTTTTAGAAGGCGATGGAGGGTCAAAGATAGTTGATATCCCTGTGCTTGTCCTCTAACCGCTCTCACTCTCTATATAACCCCCCCTCCCCACACACACACACTTTCTCTCTGCTGCCAGCTTTCTCTTACATGCAACTCTGCCCCTTCGCTTTCTTTCAGTCTTTCTTTTGCACTTTATCCCTGCCCACCATGTGTCCGCCCTCACTCACTCTGTGTAACATGTGTCACTCGCACTCTCTCTGGCATGCACTGTATGTCTCATGCACTCTCTCTCGCTCTCGCTCTCTCTTTCTCTCTCTCCAGCTGACAGCATGTAATTGAAATGGTCAAACACATGAAAACATGACAAATGGCAGGAGGTATTTGTGCTTCATCATCATCATTGCAGAGTCTCTCTCTCCCTTCAGCTGGAGCTCGGTTGACAGCTTGTAATCGAACTGCTCAGACACATGGCAAATGGTCGGAGATATTTGTGCTTCATCATCATAATTATAATGGACCCCAAACCCTGTCTCCTCCCCCCATGAACATGTCTACACACTTGGCTGCAGCACAGAATGAGTCGACACGTGTTAATATATGAATTATGATTCTTCTGGCCTGCGTATTTCCCAACAGAGAGTCCCAGAGAAACGGGATATACAGATTAACAAGATCAAACAAGATCTGTAGAATAAATGTAGAGTCTAAGTGAGTGGAGAACAACAAATTGATTTTAAACCCCCTTCTTAAGTCTGAGAGTATAATTTTTGGCTCACGTCGTGTGATCTACCTCTGAAGTGCTCTAAACCAAACAAGTCTGGAGGGTCAAACTTCCTGGTGCCATGTTGGAGGTTTCTCCTGGTAAGAAAACACAGATAAAAACAGGAATCAAGATAAGACAGGAGGAACCATGCTGGGTTTCTGGGACCTGGGTTTGATCACCAACTGTCAGTCCTGACACATCACACTGATAAAAGGTGTTTGGTTTGGTCACTCAGAACATCTACAAACTTTAAGAGACATGATATATATTTACAATGGAGATTTTCTTTCCAATATCATCTCCTTTAATAAAAATGAACATTGTTTTTGCTTCTCTTGCATTGACTTTTATAACAATATGAAACAGTTATATATTTAAAACAGTATATATTAAACTCACGATGCAGAAAAAGTTAGTGTGTGGCCTTTGGTTAAAGTGATAGTTAGACATTTTGGGGAACAGGCTTTAGAGGTGCTCGTAGGTGGAAGGTTTGTTACCTTCATATATGGCCAGGCTAGCTGTCCACCCCTGTTTCCAGTCTTTATGCTAAGCTAAGCTAGCTGTATCCTGGCATAGTATCAATCTTTTCATCTAGCTCTCGACCAGAAAGTGAATATTTGTATTTCCAAAAATGACGATTATTTTGT